GATATGTNTATCNTCGNACAGTTCNTGACGGTTCGTCGGNAAATCGTCTCTCAACNNGGCGGTGAAGTTCAGTTCCAAGGGCAGCTAGGGTTTACAAAGTGAAAAGTAAAACGGCCAGGGCTTCGCCGCAGCTGCACTCTTGGTCTTTAAGTCTCACATCCTCTCCCTTTATATAGTGGATGAGTCGGGTTTTCGATGGGTTAATTGGGCTTGATGGGCTCGTTTAACGTTGAAGAAGAAACGTTATATAAGCTCAATCCATTAAAATCCCTTTTAAATAAAAAAATTTTCTATTTCATGTTTCATGTTCGATCCAAAAATATTTCCGTGCAAAAATTAAAAGTCATCAGACACGGTCGTGACAGATCAGATAAATGGGGAATGAGTATGTGGTGGTAAAGTTATGAGAGGGAAAACGATTAAAGTATTTTAAAGTTAGCATCCCTAGTAACTTTTATAATGGACATCTTCGAACCAAAAACTTTATTGTTTGTTTTTTTCAATAACTTCACGCGCAAGAGACAACTGAATGTAGAAGTCATAATGGTGAACCAAACTTGAATTGACAATACACTGCTCAAATTTGAAGCTAAATTTTGTTATGTTTAAATTCATTTCAAATATTGAAATTCACATATTTTATCATAAAGTCAATGGAGATTTCTAAATGCTACGCATGTCTACTAATCAATTAAAACCTGTAACCCAATATTGCATCCCAAAATTCTTGTATTTTTTCGAAATCTATTAAAACTTAAAATGTAATGTGAAATCAAATCCTTACTAAGATCCAATGAAAAATCAATATAAGAATAGTACCAAATTTCAAATTAGTACAGAAATAATACCAGATTCTGACCTAAAAAAATAAACCAATAATAAAAAAATACATTTTAGTTATATTTCCAGATTAATTGAAAATAAGTAATATACTAACCACTAAATCCCATCAGTGTTCTTTTATATGGAACTAGGTGACTTCCCGCACCGTGTGTGCGGATATGAACATTTTACATAACATGTTT